TCAAACGATTTTAAACCAATTAGAACCACAAGAACTGGCATGGAGAAAAAGACACTTCAATAGCATTCAAACTATGTAGCTACAGATATCCCCAATGCAACTCCCCTCCACCAGAAATGCAGTCCCACCCACCAACAGCCAAAAAAAAAAAAAGAACTACATGCCATAAATTACTCAAGATATCATCCATTATCTACTGTGTAGATCCACAACGCATCTCTCTTAATTGATAGTCATTGGTTTGCAGTACTTAAATCAAGTTGGTAGATCTCCAATTAACAAAGAATCCCTGTTCTCTTCCTTTTAAAAATTAAACTCTTTATTCCCTAAAAGCAAGTAAGCAATTCTTCAGGTGGTGCTTTCGGCAATAACTACTATAGAAATTTGTTTCACTGATGGTAAACCCATGGTTTCAGGTCTGACTAAATTCCTCCACATGGAAATTTTCCATAGGTTTGCAGTAAATTAGATCTTTCATATGTAGAATCCATTTACCATTTGGAAGAACCATGAAATAAGTAGACGAGACAAGGAAACAAGCTAAGAAAAAAGCCAAACGCATTTCAAGTGAAATAATTAAGAAAATCAAGTAATGAAGAACCAAATATTCACCTGAAAATGTGAACTGCTCAAGCATCGAGCAATTTGGCGGAAGAGAGGAACCATACATCTTTCAAATTCTGCTGGTTGAGTCGCTTCCAATATTTCCTCGAGCTCACTTAGGAACATGACTTCCTTTGAGCTGTTGGTGATTGGCCAGTACTTTAATAATCCTCTTATAACAGTGTCTGCAAGTTTGCAGTCTTTCTCCACAAACTGTGTAATACAATACGATAATTGCTGATGGTACATTGGCAAGCATTTTGGTTTGTGAAGTGGAATTAAGGCTCGAACAAGAAACAGCTTGTGTTCTTCTTTCAGCGGCAGCGCAAACCCATTGATTATGCTGCCCAATACCTCTAAAAGCTCGGCAATTCCATTATGCTTCTCAGTTTCAAAAATAAACCGGAAGAAGATATTATTTATAGCTTTCCTGATAAATGGCCGATGGACCATAAACTTCCCATAGGTGCGATGCAGAATCGTTTTCAAGTATTCCCTCTCCCTGGGATCCTCAGAATCAAAAAGATCTAACAATTTGAGAACAAAAGAGTGATCAATGAATCTCTTTGCCAACTTTGTATCTGTCTCAGGGGAAGCAACGAACCTTAGAAGGAATTCATACACTATTTGCAAATGAGGCCATGCAGGATCCATTAGTGGCTCCTCCTCTTCCAAGTCAAAGGCTTCTAAACCTTTGTTCTCTCGTGGTTGTGGAGTAAGTGACCTAAATAAATTAGCAGATATCATCTTTACAACTTCCTGCATGACAGTTTCTGTGAACTTTGCATTTGCTGAAGTAACATAATCCACAAGCTCAAGCAACATCTGCCTCTTGATGTCTTTTTCTTTCAAGTTCTTTGTCGGGTCAGTGAAGTCAAAGACAACACAACATAAATTAAGCTTTCTAATAAACAAATTCTGTTTCTCAGAGCTAGGAACATCCCTAAATGATGGCAACAGATCATAGGGAACAGTGGCAGAATCACCATTCAGTTTTTGATTGACAGCTTGTGGAAGTTTATTTGCATTACTATATCCCAAATTTGAAGTAGAATTATGGCCTGCAGACGACATATTATCTGAATTTACCAGCCTACTACTCAAAGAATCACTGCTTCTTGCAGAACTGGAAGTATTTGGAGGAGCAGATGAACCCCCAAATTCACGATTCTCAGAGGATTTAGAAGGCTTCCTAGGAAGTCTACCAAGTATCTGCTTAATCATGATTCGTAATTGCAAACAATAAAAAATAAATTGAAAAACAAATAATGATATTGGCACTGTTTCTAGAGGTTCCCTCTAGGGAGATTTCAGTCCGTTAAATAGAGGAAAACCTCAAGGTTCACATACAGAAAAAGAGGAACAGATGCATAAAAGTCATTTCAAGCCAAGAAGGTCACTTGTATAAACTGAGATCCCAGATACCCAATACCACCTGCAATGGAGGATTGAAGAAACCGCAGTAGCATCTCTCCAAAACATCAAACCAAGAACTCATTTGACCCATCATCCTAAATCCAATTCAAAGTTCAGCGACAGGAAGTTGACACCTTTTGACTTCCATTCAAGGACCCTAGATGCAGGAATTAAAGAAAACAGCACTAAATACTGCCTAGAAGCAAAACAATAAAACCTAACACCTTCAATTATTAACAAGCCACTGGAATCAAAGTGGAGTTTTTCCGTGCTTCTTCTTCCCTCCCTCTCAGATTCTTGTCTCCACCATCCCCGGAATTAGAGCAAACACAGACTGATCAGAAAATAAAAAGATCTGGGTTCAATCAAAAACACAAATCAGCATTTATAAGCAACAAAAGATTTTACCTTAAAGACCATTAAAGACGAACTTGTGGAGAAAATTAAAAGCAGTAAAGCAGAGAAAAGGAAAAGGAAAACCCAGAAAAAAGAAGAAAACACTGGAAGGTTTTAATCTTACAGAAGCTATAACTGGTAAGAGTAGCGGAGAGCATGAGAAGCTCCAGATTTTCCTTTACTTTTGCTCCATTTCTCTGGGCAAAAGAGAGAACTGACCGAGACAACCCTTGAGAATACAAACGACATTAACTTAACTGCCCGTAAATACAACACAGGACCAGATTTCAAACAAAAAAAAAAAAAAGTTGACAAGAGAATCAAATGACTTCTCTCTCTCTCTCTCTCTCTCTCTCTCTCTCTCTCTCTCTCTCTCTCTCTCTCTCTCTAACTTTCTTTATCAATTTCCTTTTATCTTTTAATGCACTTACTTTCTTCATCTATTAGTAGGTATATGTAATTTTAGTTATCTCATTATATTATTACGTAATTTAAAATATATATATATATTGCATATTTACTTTCTTATTTTTTAGATTAATTTAATCCTATTATGATTTTTCATATTTTTATTTTAATCTTTTTACTAATTCTAAAACCAATATAAAAATTTTAAATTATTTATTATATGCATTAATCTATAAATTTTCTTAATAAGCTAAATTATGTAATACAAATAATAATTAAATAAAATTAATTTAATGAACTTATTATGTTGTTCATTTTCTTATCGTTTTAAATTAAAAAAACATCAAAGATTTATATTGAATCAAAAGTTTAAGTAAATCCTTTAACGTTTAAAATTGTTCATTTAGATCCCTATACAAAACTTGTACATTTATGGATATTTGTAGGATAGATATTGAAATTTAAAACTTTTTATTTAATTAACTTTTAATTAAATTAATTAATATTTAATCACATATAATTTGTTCTTATGGTAAATTTTTAATATTTTATTAAAATTTAAATATGTTAAATTAATGTTTTTTTAATTATGAACTAACATAAATTTAAACACAAATCTTGATCTATTTATTTTGTTCTAGCTTTGACAAAACCATCACGGATAATGTTTCCTCCATGCTTCATGGGTTAGGATAAAGTCTGTTATATTAATTCTTTCTCTTATTCTTCAAGTTCTTGGTTTAATGTTATTCCTATAAATATTTTTTTTTCAATTTTTTTTTTCTTTTTAAAATAATATCAAAATTAATTTTCACTAATTCTGTATAGATTCTATCCGTAATTTTAAGAAAATTTTTTTCTTGGAACTTTTGAATGGATGATCATATAATAATAAAAAATTACAATAAGTGAAAGTTTATACTTTTTTTATAAGTACCCAAAAAAAAAAGTTCCAACTATACTAAAAAATAGAAGAAATAAATTTGTAGCGCCCGGAGAAAAGGGGCTGAAAAAAAAAAAAAAAAAAAAAAAAAAAAAAAAAAGCCACGTCGGCAGCCACGTCAGCAGGCCCGGTCAGCAATCCCGGCCAACCGGGGCCTGCCACGTGGCAAGACCACGTCACTCCGGAACGGGCCACGTTGGCGATCCGCGTGAGCGCGATCGGACGGTCCAGATCAATCGCGCGATCGGACGGCCCAGATGCAATCGCACGGACGGCCTAGATTCAATCAAAAATGGACAGCCCAGATTAAAACAAAATGGACGGCTGAGATCAAAGAGCAAGGGGTTATAAATAGAACCCCCACACCAGACCACAAACCCTAGCCGCCTGCCGCTCACCGGAGAAGCAAACCAGAAGCCGGCTGCCACCACCCGCCGCCGCACCGGAGGAACTTCCGACCGCCGATCGAGGTAAATTTCGTACCCCCGACTCGTTTTTCCACTCTGATTCCTCCTGTGGCCAAATCAGAGCCAAAATCCCGGCCAAACGGCCGGAATACACGGCCGAAGCCCAGCGGCGCCGCCGCGCCCCTTCTCGGTTTTTGCCTCCGATGAGGCCCTTCCCGGCCTCCGTTTGATGCAATTTTTATATCACCGTGATCACCATTCTTTTCTCTACAGGTTGACCGGAGCCGAATCACCAAAACACGAACCTCGCCGGAGAGCCGCCGCACCCGAGAGCGCCGCCGCCGGTAAGCTCCGCTTTTCCGTGATTTTTTTGCCCCCCGAGGGCCCTAGGGTTGTTTTCTCACAGGGACCGATGCGAGTGTGGCCGAATTCGGCCAGAAACGGCCGAAAACAGCCAACCCGAGGCGACACACCGCCGCCAGCGGCGGCGCCGTCGCCAGAGCACGGCGGAGCCGCCGTGCCGGAGTTGCGATTTGGGCCGAAAGGGGCCCTGGGCCTAATTTGGGATTTTTTTGGAACACGTGCAGGTACCAGTAGTGCGTTTCAGTTCCCCGAGGAAAATTCAGGGAAAATTAGGGACAGCCTGCAAGCGCACTGCGAAGCCGTGTTCGGACCCCGAAACGAGTAAGGACCCCTCACCCTATTTCCTATCACGGTATTAAAGTTCAAAATGATAAAACGGTATTTCTTGAATTAACGAATGTGTGAAATTGCTTAAGGTTACTAATGGAGCCCGAGTCTAGTGTGATTGATGATTTACTGTTATTTGGCCTGTTTTACAGCTTTAAATGCAGTATGAGGTTTGATGTGTTTATTTTATAGTTTCGTGTGCATATATTACATTTTTATTGGTTATGGGTTGAATGACTGAAAAACTGATACCGTATGTTGTCTGTTTGGCATGAATTACGATTTGCTTGTTTAAAATGTGAATTGATAATGCTTACTGAGGAAGAGGAAAATGAAAGATTGTGTAGACTGATAATTGTATGATGGGGTCAGCCTGACTAGATATCCTGGGAGATGGTGGACGGACCGGGTCCGTAGGGAACCCTACTGGGATTGTGGTCACACATGCCGGACGGGGTATGGAGATCTTATGTGTTTTGGCGCCCATACCGGACGGGGTATGGGGACGGCCCGTTTCACCCTCATACCGGACGGGGTATTGAGGTTTATGGTTTTGGCGCCCATACCGGACGGGGTATGGGGACGGCCCGTTTCACCCTCATACCGGACGGGGTATTGAGGTTTATGGTTTTGGCGCCCATACCGGACGGGGTATGGGGACGGCTCTGGAAACTGATTATGAATGTTAAAGGTTAACGGGTAGCGGGACCCCTATGGACCCCCATGGATACTAGTAGGCTAGTAAATGAGAAAAGGATATGTTGTATAATGATTGAATTACAAAAGGCGTGATAAGTGCTATGTTTTACAGCTTATATTATTCCATGATTGTGATAATATTATTGTTTTCTTATATTGTTTCATGAATTCCACCGAGGTAAGTGGATGGTAAAGGTTTTATCATAAATAAAAGGATTTGTTGTAAATTATGCTTCATTGGTCTTTTGTGTTTTTCTACCCACCTTTACCTCCGTGACGGTGAGATATCGTGATGTTCTTACTGGGCTAGTGTAGCTCACTCCTTATTTAACCATTTCAGATCAGGAAGACATGGTTCCCGAGCCCGTTCCGCAGGAGGACGACGAAGGGGATGCCTAGAGACTCTGTAGTCATACTCATAGTTTTATTTTCGAGTTTCTCTTTTAGTTAGTTTAATCTTTTATATTTTAAGTACGTTTTTGGTTTTCGTGTAAGGGATGTTAACTGAAATTTTGATCTCGCTTCCGCATTTTATGTGTTTAAATACTCATTTCATTTTAACATTTCCGGGGCCGTTACAAAATTAGTTTTAAAAGTATACATAACTAATTTCAAACCTTAATACAATTCAACCACAAAGAACCCTAATCTCTTACACTGGTTTTTTTTTTTTTTTTTTATGTATCATTCTTTATTTCAGCTTTGATATATCCTACATTAATAAGTCCAAAGTTTAAATGGCAATAAGTTTTAAATTATAAATTAGATTAATTAAAAACATTAAATATTAGTATAATTAGTATTAATATTTTAATTCTGATTTTAACACTAATTATTTTGGATACTTTAATATTAATTAATTATTCATATAATGGTATCAAAATCCATAGAATATTTGTTTCTATAGCTAGTTGTCCATACCTAAGCTAAAGCTAAATTACTTAAGTACTCTTGTTTATTTGTGCCCATAATTATACTTCATAATTAACTCTAATTTAAGGCACCTTTCAGCCACAAATTAGTATTTAGACTTATTAAAACTCACTAATACACTTCAAAAATAACTAATTGTTATTTATTTAATCTAATTAATTATATGCTAAATAGTTAGTTTGGATTCTATTTTGATCTCACTCTTAATTGAACCATTTATTCAACAAGTTCACCATCTTAAATTTAATTAGTTTTATTAAACTAACATTAACATAACATCCTTCTAATAACTCAACATGTAGGAAAAATATTTTGGTTTAATATGTATTGTAACGGCCCCGGAATTTTAAAATGAAATATATGTATTAAAAAGGTCAAATGCGGAAGCGAAATAAAAAATTTCGATTAACATCCCTTACACTAAAACAAAAAACGTGCTCAAAATATAAAAGAACAAACTAACTAAAAGAGAAACTCAAAAATAAAAGCTATAAATATGACTACGGAGTCTTCAGGCGTCCCCTTCGCCGTCTTCCTGCGTAACGGGCTCGGGAACAATGTCTTCCTGATCTGAAATGATTAAATAAGGAATGAGCTACACCAGCCCAGTAAAGACATCACACTATCTCACCGTCACGGAGGTAAAAGTGGGTAGAAAACACAAAAGACCAATGGAGCATAGTTTACAACAAATTCTTTTATCGATAATAAAATCCTTGCTATCCACTTACCTCGGTGAAATTCATAAAACAATATACGAAAGTAATAACATTATCATCATCATGAAATCATAGGAACTGTATAACATAATGCTTATCACGCCTTTTGCATCTCAATCATGACATAACATATTTTTCCTTATTTACCAGCCTACTAGTATCTATGGGGATCCATAGGGGTCCCGCTACCCCTGAACCTTTAACACTTGTAATCAGATTTCAGGGCCGTCCCCATACCCCGTCCGGTATGGGCGCCAAAACTATAAACCTCAATACCCGTCCGGTATGAGGGTGAAACAGGCCGTCCCCATACCCCGTCCGGTATGGGCGCCAAAACACATAAGGTCTCCATACCCTGTCTGATATGAGAGACCACAATCCCAGTAGGGTTCCCTACGGACCCGGTCCGTCCACCATCTCCCAGGATATCTAGTCAAGCTTACCACATTATACAATTATCAATTTACATAACCTTTTATTCCCCTTTTC